GGGATGTGGAACAAAGGTTCATTATAGCGCTGTAACCTACACCACTGAAGTCTGATACTACATCCATCCAGGGTTATTGTAGAATCATAGAATCATAGAAAATTAGGGTTGGAAGGGACCTCAGGAGGTCATCTAGTCCAATCCCCTGCTCAAAGTAGGACCATCCCCAACTAGATCATTCCAGCAAGGGGTTTGTCAAGATGGGTCTTAAAAACCCCCAAGGATGGAGATTCTACCACCTCTCTAGGTACCCTGTTGAGTTATCTTAGAGTGGTATCTGCCATTTTTACAGCATTGTATGTTCCCTGACCATCTGTTTGCTATGGCTATAGAGAGCTTTCTGCATGTGTACTACACAATAGGTGCAACTTCTGTACCTTGCCTGAATATCCATGTGGTTGCCTACCCCAGGGCAGTTCTAATTGTAGGGCTCTTATGGAACTACACGTGCTGGAACTCCAGGGTCTCTCTGATTCCAGGAAAGTGCTCATGATGTGTTGCTTTCAAACTCACTTTCTCAAACTAGACCTTGAAGCCTGAAGTAGAGTGAACACTTCCTGGGGTTTTGGATCTTCCAGTCTCCCAGCATGCCAGTTCTATACTAGAAGGCCTGAAAGCCCTGGACCCAGGGGCAGGCTGCATGGCCTGGGCCTTCTCAAAGCCCCACATGCAGAAATCCTGTGGTCAATCTCAATCCACATGATATTTCACTTATTAGCATTTTGCAAAGAAAATGTTTCACAGGAAAATTCTCAGACATATCTATTTGTATGTATGTGAATAAAGGCCAGAGAATGCAAGTTAATGTACACCTGATCAGATGTATCTATGGATTTGCATTAGAAGGAAGACCTTTTATGGTATCGAATGGTCTTCTTCTAAGAGAACCCACTTATAGAACAATTAAGTCTATTTTATTGCTTACAAAAGGATACCTTTTAAAAATAAATTTGGATAAAATGGATCAGCAGGGAATTGGGAAAGTCAGAAATGCAGGAACTTTATATTTCAGGCAACAGCATAAATGCTCATTTCAAATCCTTCCATCATATTCTCTATTTTTTCCACAAAGGGCTGCTGTGCTAAAGACTAACGTTGTTTTTATACAATACTTGTATAAAAGTACTTAGATGAGATGGCTGTTTCATAGGCTCTTCAGGAAACTTAAGTAACTCATTTTACATAAATTAAACAGTATTAATTTTGAAGTTTTTTAGCTGTTAACTGCAATAGTAGAAGCTGCCTATCTCTTTTCAAGCCTAGTGATCAAGGCTTGGTTGGGGCTATCATCTCAAGGAATAGGTGCTAGGAATCATTTCAAATATAAACATTTATCTTCTTCTTGTTTTTGTCTTTACACAGGTACTGAAATCACCATAAACTAGAATTTTGGAGATCCTGAAGTAGGAAAGCATACAAGCCCTTCTAGGCAGAACTGTTCAGAACAGAAGAAACCCCAAACCCTGTGCTTCTTTAAGACATAGTAATAATCTGCACACACAAAAACATGTCAGTTTTCCCCCATTCCTCAGCAAAGATTTAAAACCAAAGCACTTTGCATTAAGATCTCATTAATAAGATTTTTACTTACTAAATTAATAATTTGCTTTCAGAATAATTCACTTTCAAAAAGCACTACAGAGTGCCTACTTGTACCCCTCAAAGAATTATAAAAATAGTCATAACTAATGTTCACTTCTCCATTCAAGGGGATTGGAGCAAAAAAGAATGTTGGTTTATAAGGGAGACAAATTGAATTAAGTCATCTTTGTAGATAAAGAGAAAAACAGCTTAATGTTTAGTCTACTTTGAAGCCACCATACCTGCTCTTGAGAGATTGCTGGCAGGAAAATGAAAGCAGTCAATGTTTGATTTTTCAAAACTACCATTTTGAATTTTCCAGTGTGAATCCTAGCCTCTGTAACCACAAATCTTTGGCAAATGCCTACTGATTTCAGTGGTGCAGAATCATGCCCTTAACTTACCTGAACAAGGAGTGAAACCTTTCAAAAAGTAATTGCCCAAACAATACATAGGACCTGCCTAAATGCAATCATACTATTCATTCTTAATTTCTTCCCTTTTCTTTTTCTTTTTCTTTTTGTTCACTTTTCTGAAATTGACAACAATAAAATTGATCTAAAATGATTTTTAGAAAACAATTTTTATATAGTTCAGTATCACAATGTCATACTATATTTATATGTCCATAACAGCAGATGTATCACTAAAGTTTTAAACACTAAAACTTAAAGAAATACCTAATATTCGAAAAAAAATATGAAGCAAATGCTACACTAAGCTAAATGCCACTAGAGGGCATTCGTTCACTGTAATACTTAGGCTGTAGCAAAAGGGATGGAAAAATACTCTTCCAGTGCATTAACATAGTATGTGGGATTATGTGAGAAACAAAAAAAATCTACCACCCTAAATTATTTTCCTATAATTTAGCAAAATGCTTTTTCCAAATCATTATTTTTCCTATTATTCAAGAAATAACGATGCTTAGGTGGCAGGATTCTCCAGATCAGGGAGGTAGCATATTACACCCAATTTATACAGATGAAGCTGACTACAAGTATCAGGCATAGGATAATCTATTAGTATTCCTTACACTACTGCAACCTTCATTAATGAAGAAAGGGTAGCACACTATCCCCAACTTATTTTACTTTCCTTCATGTTCACAAATGCTGTAGTAACTGTCATACAACTCCCCTTTAAATGAGTGTAATAATTATTTAAAGACCTTTTATGGTTTGAAATATACTTCTTATGCTTTTTGATGAATGTTAAATAGTCTTGAATACCAAAAAAAGTGATTTCTTTAAACAAAACAAGAATTCTTTCTTTTCTTAAAATAAACATGGGGGCACTTTCTAACTTGGTATCAGCATGTAGTTCTGGGAACCCACAGACCTCGATTCAAAATTCATAAGGCAGAGATGCATTAAGACTCTGGCCTAATGTGAGAGCTGCATGGATCATTCAGTGCCCCACTGCTCACACACCTGCAGTCTTGGAGGTGGCTATTCTTTCTGACCAGCTGGATGCTCTGATGGAAATTTCATATCAAAGTGAAGATAGGGAAAAAGCAGAAGGAAAAATATACTAGCCCTGAATAAAAGGGTGTGTGGGAATTGGTGGATCTTTTCTCCATGGCAAAATAAATGAAAGGCAAAGCTTAGTAGCAGCTCTTATGGAGCTACAGTAATGTGTTTACAGTTACATTAAAAGCAGGTATTACCTGTTCTAAAAGATTCTGAAGCCTCTCTATTTCACAGTCTATTACGAATTTCTTTTCTTGTCTTCGGTCCAGGTCTTCTAAAAGCCGCCTGTAGCTGGCATCATTAAAATTCTCCACACAGATGGCACTGACTTGCCAACTATTTTGTCCTGCTTTTTCCATAATAGCTTGAAGTATTGAATAACCTAAAAGAAAAGGATACAATTCAATAATAACACAATCTCTGCATTTTATGGATCATAATTGTTATTAATTAATATTAAGTCCTTTAATGCTCACTCTAACAGCATGCATCTACACGTGCCCCCCACGGCAAAGTTGTTACTATGCCATCATTTAGTATTTGCTTTAGCAAGTACTAAATTATGGTGCACTGTTATTTTTAGCAGCTATGTCGCTGTAGCAATGTGTTATAATGAGGTAGCTCATTGCTATGGTGGCGTAGTGTCGGCATCATGGTTTTTGCCTGTCAGCACTACGTCTCTGCAGCACATCTCTATGGCAATGTAGTATCATGCATAGACATAGCCATAGAAAGGGAACTGGAAGTCACAGCTTCTAGTTTTATCTGTACTAGTTACTGTGACTAGCACAACATATAAATTATCTATGCAATAATAATAATTTGTATTACTAGCACTTATATGATGCCCATTATTTTGAGTAATAAGTGGATAAATGGAAATGACTTTTATCTAGCTCATGGGGATATTGTTAACTAATTGTGGGGATGATGTTAACTAATTAATGACTGAGAAGCGCTTTCAGATAACTGAATGAAAGCCATTACAGAAGTATTATCGTCATCACAATGTCCCATTTGCCATCTGCAAAGATAATTATCAGAGAGGAAAGGCAATTTCTTCTTTAAAAACTTCTGCTTTTTCATCATTTGTTCAAGGCAGCTTAAAACCCCCTAAACATTGGATGATTTCTTCTAGAAGAGTAAAGATCCAGAAATTCAAATCACAGTCAGTTTGAACCAGTGTGACACTGTTTGTAGACAATGTTCTGAGATACATGCCAGTATTCATAGAAGACATCCTAAGGAGCATAATTACAATAGGTGGGATCCAAGCAGTAGACATCTAAGTCACAAACGCTCCAGATCAACCATGCTGCAGTGGGTGAAAACCTTTTGGGTTTCACCCACCACAGCATGGTTGATCTGGAGCATTTGTGACTTAGATGTCTATCGTCTGGATCTCACCCATTGTAAACCAGGGTAATCTATATTACATGGTTAGGTATCCTACTTCTTGGATGAATGTTTCTGCCACTAAACTAAAATGTGGGCAGCCTGCAATCAGCCAACACTCAAGAAGGAAAAGTACTGCCATTGTTATGTGCTTTTGAATTCCAAGATGAGGTGATGGCCACTGCATAGCCATGAGCCAGATGCCTAATCCTGAGGAAGAGCAGGAAGTCAGATACATTCCTATGCCTACCATTTCCTGGTAGCTTACTTACACATCCCAGCTCAAATCCAGTGATTTGGATTCATCGTTGGAAGCAGCAGTTTCTAATGACTGTATAGGGATCCTAGGTGCCTAACCCTGTCGATCTGAGTCACCCTACTCTGGCAAAGCTCCTCATTTTGAAGCACTGAAATCATATGGGGAGGCATATACAAGAGTTAATTGGATCTGGCCCATTATGACTTGGGTAATTATATTTTCCCTTCCTAAACTCCTTACACTAGCTTCAGTTAAAAAGGTTTTTCATTTTACCTCCTGACTATTAATAAATAATGCTGCTGATGCCCAGTGGCTCCTTGATATGAGAGAGGTCTCCATTTCAAGGGTATGTGAGTGATCTCTATATGCGCTATTGTTTGTAATGCATTTTGGGAATTTTCTTAAAAGATCCCATATGGATAATGGATTTCAGCCACCCAAAATAAAATGCCAATTACATTTTAGAAACCAATTAATTTATCAAGTCTTTGCTAATAATCTAGGAGAATGCTTTTAATTTAGGAGGTCTG